TCTGGAACTGGGGATCACGCTGAGGGCCTCGGAGATCCTAGGCATGAACTCACCCACTGTACACCCTGAAAAATAATATCAGAGGGGGCCGGGGAGATGGCTCAGTAGAATAAGCGCTTCCCTGGCAAGCACAAGGGTCTGAGTTCAATCCCTGGTCCGAAAAAAAAAAAAAAAAATTAGAGTCACTATTCCTGTTCCCACTCCCACTGTACAGATAAAGAAACTGAGGCAAGGAAAGATTGCCTAACTTGCTTTAAATTAAAGAGACCAAAAAAAAAAAAAAAGAGAGAGAGAAAGAAAATAAAGAGCTCTCAAAATGGAAGTTATGCAGGACTATGTAAAATATAATTATATTAGATGAAAAATTAATTAATTAATTAATTAAACAGAGACAAAAGAGCAGGGCCAGGTTCTAATCCAATGTCTCTCAGATAGATAAGTAGGTAGATATCTAGATGATAGATAGATAGATAGATAAATAGATAGATAGACAGATAGACAGATGAGAAGCAGGTCACACTGTCATGTTGTCTTGGGGATCAGACTTTGAAACAGTACTTTGTACTATGTGCTGACTGCTATTCCCAGAGTTTTATAATGATCTATTTTATCCATCAAGCCATGGTTTTACTACGTCATCCAGATAATTAAGTGACTTGAAGGACTTTATGGGGGTGGGGACACATGCTAAGGAGGCCTAGGAGCTCCCCATTTATCAGAACTCCTGAATGTAAATCCATGAGTTCCGTCTCACCTAAAAATCAATACTGTTTCTAGTCTGCAGCCGCAGCTCCAGTTCCCAGCCTATCTCTGGTCCCATCTCCAGGACAGCTCAGGCCTGACTGATAAATGCCAGGGCACAGGTGAGCAGCACTCTGGGCCCTTAGATGTATAATTACATCTATAGACGTGAAAAATGTGAACAATTTGGCTTCCAGCAATGAGGTGGTTTCCCGGAAATGATTCTCAAGATTCTTGATTCTCGGGTGAAGGGAAGGAGCCTTGCAGCTATCCAGTCCTCAAGAGCAGGGAGCAGCCCTGCAGGGGCGGGGGCCTGGGGGGTGCAGCTCTGCAGACCCCTGCACTCCAGGGACACCAGCTGCTGCCACCCAGGCTCTGTGAAGCCGCGGCACAATTTTAATTTCCTCTCTTTCTCTTCTTCCCCTTGGACAAAATGAATCATAAAGTTTATACTCACTTTAGTATGTACATTTTAAATAGACCCTATAAAACCAAGGGTGTAATGAATTCAAGACGCCCGCATCGTAGCGATTCTGCACACAGTGCTGAGTCTCATGGTTTGGACCCAGCCTTCTTAGGATTCTTCAGTAGGACCAGACTTTAGACTCCAAGGAAATGAAAAGAGTGATGGCGTGATTTTGTGAATGACCGCTAAATCTGCAAAACTAGCTGTTGCAGGGCTGGGGAGATGACTCAGTAGAATAAGCACTTGCCTAGCAAGTGCAAGGGCCTGAGTTCAATCCCCAGTTCCGCCAAAAAAAAAAAAAAAAAAAACTAGTTGTTTGCAGTGCTTTGCGCAGAAAGCTAAGTATAGTGACCCACAAGCCTGGACTCTCACTGCTATGGAAGGCTGAGGCAGGAGAATCACAAGGTCAAGCCCAACCAGTTCAAAGGCACTGTGCTCAATCACCAGTACCAAAGAAGAGGAAAGGAGAGAAGCCTCCGAGGGCCAGGGCCAGGGCCAGGGCCGGGCTGGACACAGGCAGCTGTACAACTCGTACCTCCCAGCAAGCAGCAGGATGGTCCAGTACCGGGGCGCTTTAGGGCCAGGGGCAGGTCTGTACTTGCTCACTAACTAACACAAACCAATTGTGCACCAGTATGGCTTTTCACTCCAAATGCTCACGAGGAATGTAAAGATCTCTTGTTTTCTGTAACTTTAGATGAGCTTTCAAAACAGAATCCACCCAGAACCGCCCAGCCCACAGCAGGAGGGGGCCGTCTTCTAGCAGATGGAACAAAGGATTGGGTTCCCAAGCTCCCATATTAAGTCAAAAGGGCACAGTGTCAGCCCAGGACCACCCAGGCAAGATGAACTCCAGAGCGCCTCTCCACGGTGCTCACGGTGGCGAGACGGGAGGTTTGATCTTGGGAAAAGCAAACATCACAGACTTCACCCCTAATCACGGAACTCACACCCCACCCCAGAGGAGCTGCCCCCACACAAGTGGGGCGGGAGCTTCCGTTTCTTCTGTCCGTCTGTTTGCCTGGGGAGCACCAGGCAATGTGAAAGAAAGAAAGAAAGAAAGAAAGAAAGAAAGAAAGAAAGAAAGAAAGAAAGAAAGAAAGAAAGAAAGAAAGAAAGAAAGAAAGAAGTCAAATACAGATCTGATTATGTCACTCTCTGCTAAAACCCTCAAGTGGCTCTCAGGGCTTATAGATAAGGACCTAATCCTTGAGACAACAGTTGTACCCCATTCCGTAAGTCACTTTTCTAATTGCTGGGTCAAAGTACCTTATTCCCGTGATGTAAGGAGGAGAGGCCCATGAATAATTGAAAGTTTGTAAGTAAATGCCAGGTCCTGATAGTTATTGTTAACCTGTTATGTAACAAAGTGAAATTTTATTAAACTGATTTTCAACTTGAGAGAGAGAGAGAGAGAGACACAGAGAGAGAGACAGAGAGAGAGAGACAGAGAGAGAGAGAGAGAGAGAGAGAGAGAGAGAGAGAGATGGAATCTTCAGTGTTCCAGCCATTGAACATAAAGGAGAAAAAAGTCTGCTCTCCTTTCTCCTCCAGACCACTCCTTACCCTGAGATTATAGGCTGAATGGGTGAGTGCCAAGGATTGAACCCAGACCTTCACACTGAGCTGCATCTTCAGTCACTGTTTAAGATATTCTACTTTGACTGGGTGTGGTGGTGCTCACCTGTAATCTCAGCACTTGGGAGGCTGAAAACAGGAGAATCACTATGAGTCCCATCTACATAGTGAGACCCTGTACACTTTGTCCACCCTGTTCTAAATTTAAAAAAAAAAAAAAATTTTTTTTTTTCTATCTTGAGACAGGGTCTCACTAGGCCCTGAACTGTCCAGGCTGGACTTGAATTTGCCAGCTTCGTGCCTCAGTCTCCCAGAGTGCTGGGGTTATGGAAGTGCACAACGCTGCCCAAGAAGAATAAATTTTTCTAAATTAACCAGCAACCCAAATATTTTTTCAACTGTTATCTTTTTAAATATGTTAAGATAATTCCCCAACCAATTTAGAGGGAAGGACTCTCCACATTTCCTCACCCCAATTTTCCTCTCTTCACAACAAATTAGGGACATTGTATGCTAATTTTTTTTTTTTTTTTTTTGTACAATGTCTTCAGGGTCTCACTCTGCAGCTCAGATTTGTAGTAACCCTCCTGTTTTCAGCCTCCCAAGCGCCATCACACCGGGATCAACCCCCAGTCCCAATGCCTGCCTAAGCAGGCACTTTAGTCTGTTGAGCTATCTGGTTGCCCCCCCACCCCCTTTTTGAAAAGAGGTTTCGCTAAGTCAGTAAACTGCCCAGGCTGGCTGGGTGTGCAGGTGCACACCCAGAATCCCAGCATTTGGGAGGCTGAGGCAGAGGATTGCCACAATTGTGAGATGAGGCTGGCTGCATGGCGAGTTCAAGGCCAGTCCAGATAGCAAGACCCTGTCTTAGCTCTCACTCTTCAAGAAAAGAATAAAACAAATTGCCCAGACTTGCAGTCCTCCTGCCTCAGCCTCCCAGAGTACTGGGGTTACAGGTGTGTACACCACACCTGCCTTCAGCCCTAACTTTCTCACTCACTCCCATGATTCCCACCCTTATCTCTTAACCCCCTCCCCAGGGAGGTTGAGCTCAGCTGAGAAGGCGTTTGCTGGCACCGTGCGCTGACACACGCGGCTCCCAAGGCACCCAACGTGGCCTCGCTTTTACTGTCCTTTCCCAGCGTGTTCACCCAATGCACACCCTACTTTCTGACCACGCAGGATGCCTCAACACTTCCCCGCCACATGTGTGTTTTCCCCTACTTTTCCACATGCCCTGCCTGGACCCACTTCACATTTGCTCCAGCCACCGTACCAAAGTTCGGCAGGGCGTGTTCTCACACTGTCCCCTGCTCTGACTGGAGCTGGAATCTTGGTCTTCAGCTAAATCCAGACTTGGGCCCTGCAGGGTCTCCAGCACATGCCCCCCAAGGCTGCAAAAGGCAGGTGGGGCAGGGCGGTGGGGGTGCTGGCTCGGGTGGGGGAAGGGGACCAGGCTCTCAGAGCCCAGACGCTTTGGTCATGAACTAGGTGTATCAGTACTATCTAATGCGTTCTTCTTGTTGTAAATGACAACAACCTCCTCAAGGCTTATGTTTGTGTTCTGAGTCCCGTCTCACTAGATTGCTAAGTGACCTGTCCGATAAAGCAAGTTTTGGTCTCCCCTGTCAAGTGCTTATGTATAAAATTCACGCAGACAGGAGACTGTCCTAAAGGGTGAGTGGGCATGAAATAAATTCATTAGGAAGCAAGGCCCCGTCAACCACAGTCTTTGCGCACCAAGAAGTGCCCTGGAAGCCTCCCTTTTCTGGGACCCACACCAGGTAAGGTGACTCACCCCCCTTCCTTCCTCGTTGGGCCGGCACTGAGGATGGGAACATGGCCTATGTGCAGTGGACACACACTCTACTGAAGCGACACCCCAGCCCTCCTTCTGCTCCTGGCTGTCCCTTTTCTGCCTGTCATGGGCCTTTCTGCTTATGCACTTTAATTTTTTTTTTTTTACTCATACATGTTTGGAGTACATGCTGACTACTCTCATCATGAGGATTTGATGCATATGTAGAATACATTTAGGGGCTGGGGAGATAGCTCAATAGAACAAGCACTTGCCTGGCAAGCATAGGGTCCTGAGTTCAATCCCTGGTACCACAAAAAAAAAAAAAAGAACACATTTAACTTCTTTTTGTGCTCCTTCTCCTTCCTCCCACCCCCACTTTTAAGACTCACTTGGGGTGCCGTGCAGCCAGCCAAGATGGCAGTGTGCATCATGGTGATTGTGAAGGAGAATTATCCTTTCTACGTCCGCAGCATCCCCGTGGAGAATGAACTCAAGTTCCACTCCGTGGTGCACACATCCCTGGACCTGGTGGACGAGAAGATCTCCGCCATGGGGAAGGCTCTGGTGGACCAGCGGGGGCTCTGCCCGGGTCTGCTGTACCCAACAGAGGACTACAAGGTATACGGCTACGTGACCAACTCCAAGGTGAAGTTTGTCACGCTGGTGGACTCCTCAAACACGGCCCATAGAGACAACGAAATCTGCAGCATGTTCTGGAAGCTGCATAACTCCTACACAGATGTGACATGTAACCCCTTCCCCAACCCTGGGGACCGCATCCGGCCGAGGGTCTTTGACAACATGGTGACATCGCTGATGACTCAGGTGTGCTGAGCAGGTCCCCGCTGCCTGTGCTCTGCCCAGGAGAGGCAGTGTGCACATAGCTGCAGGGAAAGTCTATTGGCATTCCTCTTGCCCAGTGGGCATGGGGTTGGCACATGCCTTGCACTAAAGCTTGGGAGATTAAAAAAAAAACCTACTGGGAGGCCGGCAAGATAGCCCAGCAGTCTAAAGTGCCTGCTTAGGCAAGCTTAGGCAAGCTCACAGGGACTGTGGTTCGATCCCCAGCACCACATGCCTCCCGGGCACCACATGCCACTGTCCCCAGGGTGGGCTGAGCTGACCACAAAAAAAATTTTGCTTCAAGCCAGGTGTGGGAGGTGAGACAAGAGAATCAGCATACACTTCAGGCCAGTCTTGAGAACCTAGTGAGTCCAAGGCCAGCCTGAGCTACACAGTGAGAGCCTGTCTCAGAAAAGCCAGGTGCTAGGGGGCCTGCCCCGTAGCTCAGTTCTTTAAGTGGCTGCTTCAACAAAGCAGTCAGGCTCAGGTTGCTTGGGTTCGATCCCCACAACTCAAGCCAGCCAAACCTGCCCTGAAGGCATTCAGAGCAAAAGAAAAGAAAAGAAAAGAAAAGAAAAGAAAAGAAAAGAAAAGAAAAGAAAAGAAAAGAAAAGAAAAGAAAAGAAAATCCAGGCCTAGCCTCTTACAAAGGGCTGGGAAGGTAGCTCAGTGTAGAGGTCCTGGGTTCAAATCCCAGTACTACAATGATAAATGACTGATAATAGCTAGATAGAGACACATAATGCAGAAGGATGTAGATAATACACGTACATGGAGCAAATGAAAGGTGAAAGTGTGTATGGTAAAAGTTAGACCCTCACTCTGCTCTCTTCTGGTGTGAGTGCTGACCGTCTCAGGGTGCACAGAAGGGAGGCTGATCCCCTTGTGTGGCTCCAGAGGCTGCGAATCCTGAGAGGGCGGCACGCAGCATCACATCCCCACAGCACAACAGACCCAACGCGCTCGAAAGAGCTCAGCCCACTTTACCCCAAAGCCCCTCCAGTGCTGACGCCCACCCCAGGAAGGCCTCCACCTCCAGGACCATTAGTCCTGAATATGGCCTTTGGGGTTCAGGTCCTAACACAACCCATTCTAAGAGATGAACACTCGGACCTTGCCCTCTCACTCAGGGCATGGCTTTCTGCAAAGACTGTGTTACCCTCTTACGTTCTGTGCGTGTACAGGCAGAAACACGCGTACCCTGGCAACCACACGCTTCCTGCTTTCTTTCCACATCTTGCTTCTTTGATACACTGTAACGACATGCCGCAGAGATGGTCCAGCAGCAAGGCATGCAGAGCGGCTTGTTGTTTTGTTTTTGTTTTTTGGTACTAGGGATTGAACTCATGACCTTGCACTTGCCAGGCAGGTGCTTATGCCATTGAGCTATTTTTCTTTTTGGAAACACTGCCTTGTCTTCCACGGTCATGTGCACCATCACCAATAGCAACAGTTCTTTAATAACAGACTATTATTTACAATCATTTGCTATTGTACACAAAGCTCCAGTGAACTCCTGTGCCAATGATCTAATACTTAGGTCAGGGTTGACACACAGGCAAGAGTAGGGGACAAGAGAGGGTCTCACTGTGCTGCCCAGTTGCTCCTCCTAGGAAGGCCAGTCCTCAGAGCCCAAGCGACCCCAACAGGACTGCTGGTGCACAGCCCCCAGCGCCCAGCCTCCTGCTCTTCCTGCCCAGTCAAGGCTTACGGAGAGAGCACATACTCGGCTCCAGAAGGGGCCAGTCCCTCCTCTTCCTGGTCCTGTGGCTGACTCCAGAGCCTTGCTGCATGCAGAGCTTGCCTGGATGTGCTCCATGTGTTATGGTTTGAAGATGAAGTTTCCTGCAAAGACTCTCATACCAAGGGCTTGGTCCCCAAAGCAGCAATATTTTGAGGGGTGACTGGGTCCCAAGGGTGCTGACCATCAGTGGATGAATTCACAACTGAATAGGGCCCGGTTGGAAAAGCCGATCACGGGGCCGTGCCTCAGAAGGGAGTCTTTGCTCTTGTAGGCAGCTAAATTTTTTTTTTTTTAATTTTATTTATGTGTGTGTGTGTGTGTGTGTGTGTGTGGCCAGCTCAGCCCACCAGGGGGCGGGGCTGGCTGGCATGTGGTGCTGGGGGATTGAACCGTGCTTGCTTTGCTTTGCTAAGCTTGTTCTAAGTAGGTGCTTTAGACCACTGAGCCATCTCACCAGCCCCGTAGGCAGCTAAATTAAGTAGAAATATTCTAAGCAGTCAGAGAGGGCCAGGCCCTCAAGGAGACAATATGGGAGACCCAGTGACTTTGCAACTTGGAAGAGATAGACACTCCCATATGGGCCACACCTCAAGGCAAAAGAGGAAACAAATATACCTAGGGATGGGCATAAAGGACTGATATTCTAAATAAGTATCAATCACCTTGAAAGAGCCCAAATGAGTCACTAGCCCAACTCCCAACAGGAAGAGACACTGTCCCTCTTGCTACCTGACTGGCTTCCCCATTTGGTACTGGATTTAATCAATTTTACTGAGCAATGTTGCTTGTAGCCTCATTGGTTGACTATAGCTTTGTCCTACCTCATGCCCACCTAAGCAAGTTCCCATGCTCTCCACCACCTTAGATCCGTCTCACCCCATGGTTTTACTCTATTAAAGTCCCTGGAAGAGACAGTATCCCGGGGACCACCCACTCAGCCCCACCCCCCACCCCCACCCCGTCCCTCTCTCGGACAGGAGCTTTCTTTAGGTTGGGAGATAATTTTTCCCCTCTATCACTTGGAGGTTCCCTGCATCACTCTCAGGCCCTGCCTCTCCCGGCTCTCCCCCTCCCTGCTTCCTGATTGCCCTGCATGAGCAGCTTCCCCCACTAGGCCCTTCTGCTGTAATGTTCCCACCTCACACCAGGCCACAGCTAACCAGGGACTGGATTCTCTGAGTCCATGGGCCAAAAGGGCATTTTCTTCCTTCAAGCCTACTTAAGGCAGATATTTTTTCACAGCAATGAGCAATGAGGAACACTACCTAAATTCCTGCAAGCAGACTTCGGCCTCCTTATTTGAGTGCTGCTGAGCTGGGCCTCGGCTTTCTCTCCTACAATTGTGCTGCCTCTGGAAAGAGCAAAGGCCTGGCTTTTCTGGGCGAATCCTCTCACAGTGAACCATAGTAACATAATCATTCAGATATATTTCAGACATTCTAAAATTTAACACTTTAAAGAAGTTAGGCCAGGCTGTGGGTACAAACCCATTATTCCAGCACTCAGGAGGCAGAGGTAGCAGGATTGCTGCAAGTTTGAAGTCACTCTGGGTTGCACAGTGAACTCAAGGCCAGCCAAAGTACACAGCGAGACCCTGTCTCAAAAAAAAAAAACCAACAAACTGTAAGGGCCAGCCAGATAGCTCAGTGGCCTACAAATGCCTGCTTAGGCAGAGTGCAGTGGCCAGGGTTCATCCCCAGTGTGCCATGCCAGCCCTGCCCCCAGGGAGCACCGAGATTGTAATTGAGACTGGGTGTGGTGGCGCTCCTGTAATCCCAGCACTTGGGAGGCTGAACACAGAAAGTGTCCGATCTACGTATGAGACCCTGTAAACCCTATACTACATAATAATAAAAAAAACCTTGTAATGCTATTTGTATAAAAAATATTTGAGTAAGAAATTATTTTCAGAAAACAAAACAGCCCAGGGAGGTGGTGTGCATTTGTAATCCTAGCATTTGGTAAACCAAGGCAGGAGGATCACCAGGACTTTGAAGCCAGTGTAGTAAGTTTAAGGCCAGCCTAAACTATATAGTGAGACCCTATTTCAAAAGAAAAAAAAAAAAAAATCAACTGCAACTATGTTTTAGTAGCTAAAAGTTCCTGTCAACTGCTTTAGTCTCAGAATAATATCTTCTTTAAGATAACTATCTGTGATCCAAGAATAGATGGTTAAAGCAGTATATCCTTAGTTTTCCTTAAAATAGAATTTTACTTTCTTTTTATGATCTGCATGATTCTACAGGACTTGGTTCTATTTATAGAGATTATTCCTTGAAGGGGCCGGGGAGATGGCTCAGTAGAATAAGTGTTTCCCTGGCAAGCGCAAGGGAAAAAAAAAAAAAAAAGGAAAAAAGAGTATCCCTTGAGGGCCATGAGATAGCTCCGAGGACTAACGGCCTGCTTAAACAAGCACAGGGATTGGGGTTCTATCCTCAGCACCACATGCCATGCCAGCCTCGCCCCCAGAGCGCGCTGAGCCAGCAACAGAGACGGCGTGGTGTCGCACGCCTGTAATCCCAGCACTGGGGAGGCTAAGAACAAGAGGATCACCATGAGTCCGAGCTGCATAGTGAGACCCTACCGAATACATTTAAAAAAAAAAAAAAATTATCTCTTGAATAAAAGGCAACTGCACAACCTAGGAAGAAAACGTGAAGTGCTGGTTCCCTGGTGGGTCACAAGTCAGCACTGCCCCGAGGTCAGCGTGAGTTGGTGCGAAGAGCCCAAACTCACAGGACAGCGGGGGTGGCAGCTTTCACACTGCCGCACCCAGCAGCGTGGCCTCCATGTACACGGGGCCTTCTCTGCTTTCAAGGTGGACAAAAGCATTTTTCTTTTTCTTTTCTTTTTTTTTTTTTATGAGCAGAATATATTTATTAAGAGAAAGAAATCTCCTGTCCAAGAGAGGGACAGGAGGGGGGCCCGAGGGGGTTGTTCCCCGGGAAGCTGTCCCTTCCAGGGACGTTTATAGTGTAAAACCATGTGAGGCTAAGGTAGAGAGAATGGGAACTCGCTTAGGTGGGCAGGAGGTGGGACAAAACTATGGTCAAACAATGGGATTACATATGGGACAGGGTCTTTTCCGGTTGGGGGCTGGAATGCGGGATAGGGTCTCTTTCTGTTGGGGGTTGGGCTAGTGACTCTCTTGGGTCTTTCCAGGTGATTGATACCTATTAGAATATCAATCCCAGGTGCTACTCGTTTAGCATTTGTTTGGCCTTTAGCTCTTTAGGTCTGGCTCGCA